CTGATCATTGGCTTTGTGGTAATACGACCCATGAGCTCCAGCTCCTCCTAGTGTCAGTGTGGCGATAAAGTTGCTGCCTGTTTGTAAATACCCATTCAGATTTTGAAAATTCTGTATTCATACTTACAGACTGAATGTATATTTTGGAACATTTACTTAGCTTATACATTTTTACGTCTTAATCTGGGCTAAAACACGTCAGACCAGAAAAGCTGTCTAGATATAGGTTAAAAATGTTCCGATTCTTTACTATTGTTCTTTATAGTTGCACTTAAATCTGTCTGAAACATCTCTTTACTTTAGACATTTTTATTGTGTATTGTTTTATTGTATTTAAAAGGTTCTTTTTGTTATTTGAAAAAAAGTTATTAAACTTTATTAAGGCTACATCCATATTAATCAGAATATCTATAATATTTAAAACGCTACTGTCATCATCTTTTACCAAAGGACAGCAATCAAGAGTAAATATTCTGTCATCCTTAAATGTTCCGATTCTTTACTATTGTTCTTTATAGTTGCACTTAAATCTGTCTGAAACATCTCTTTACTTTAGACATTTTTATTGTGTATTGTTTTATTGTATTTAAAAGGTTCTTTTTGTTATTTGAAAAAAAGTTATTAAACTTTATTAAGGCTACATCCATATTAATCAGAATATCTATAATATTTAAAACGCTACTGTCATCATCTTTTACCAAAGGACAGCAAATCAAGAGTAAATATTCTGTCATCCTTGCAGCAATGTAATATGAAGATTGTACGAAGTAACATTTATCTTTCGCAACATTATTAAAGCGAATAACAGGCACATCAATGCAGTTACATCATTAGATATCTATGGGTACATATGTATATGGGTACAATATGTTTTACATGACTAAACAGGCGCCGTAGTTTTCGAATACCTCAGTTATCACAGTTCACACTACCCCATAAACTGTGTTTTCTAATGTATCCACCTTGGAGAGTGCCTTCAAAAAGCTGTTTTCTCTGGACAAAACACTATCTCAGTGTGGACAAAAGGCCAAAACATAGAGAAAAAGACGTGTTTATCTAGATTAATGTGGATGTAGCCAAAGAGGACAACACTTGTGTATCTTTTTAACATAATTTGTAATGTAATTCATCACTGTGATAAAAAGACTGAATTATAGTGACGTGAAAATTGGATGCAGTCACATACCGATCTACTACTCTTTCTTTATACGGGTTTACCTGTATATCGGCCCGCCAGAGACATGACTGTTCCCTCCTCTCCGGGCCGTCGGTGATACACCAGCTCTCCCCCTAATGCCAGCGACGGAGTGACAGACTGGAGATAATGAGCTACAACAATTCCTGAGAAAGATGTGAGGGACAGGAGGTGAGAGAACCAGAGAGAAAAATAAGTTGGATGAGTTAACTGAAGAAGACTAAAAACAAATAAAGCTACTAAAATAAACATGGATGAAACAGAAGACAATTACCAGAACCAACCAAGACGTCTGGGTTGCCAAAGGTCACAGTGGCAGTGAAATCTTCCCCTTTGAATTCAGCATCTCCTTGCCAGTTCACAAACTTCTGCTGCTGAGTCTGATTGAGACAAGTATGTCCAGCAATGCATTAGTATTACATCATAACTAATCAAAACAATAACACATACACAAATACACACCTGGAAGGCAAATTTCGAGCGCACTCTGTCTGTGATCTGATGAATAATCTGTGCATTTAGGCTCCCTGTGTTGTCCATGTCACCCACCATGACGGGAAAGGCCTGATAAAAATATTAAGGAATCTATAAATATTTGGATAAATGGCGCAAGTTCCTTTTTCAAATTAAATAGACTTTTCAGCAGCCTTTTTACCTCTGCTGGTCCTGCTTGTTTGGTCCCCACATAAGTAGCTCCAAACCTGTAACTGGAATCTCCTTGAGTGCTTAGCAACACTGTGTGGCTGACCTATGAAATAAAATGAGATGATCTTGATGACGATCGGGAATACTTTCTTCAACAACATGACTCAAGAAAATCCACCAGTAAACACACTGACCTGGAAGTGGTTGCTCAAAGCTTTGCTCACTGTCAGTCTAACACCCTCCATCTGCACAGGAAACACCTCTGAGGGACAAACAGACATTAGTGTAAAAACATTTGAATTTGTAATTATGAAAATTCAAAGTAAAGTCATACAAGATACAGCTGAATTGAGAATGGCTTTTAAATTCCAATGGATTCCAATTCCTCCTGAATTTGAATTGAATTTTAACTGAGGAAACAGGATATAAAATTCTAATGTATGTCTAATTTTAATTGAAAGAAAGATTCAAATAAAACGAAATAAAAATAAATAATAATGATACTACTACTACTACTAATTTAACTGCTGTATTTTAATTTGCTGATTTTTTTTGGTAATACATTTTTCAGTATAAATCAGCCGTTAATGTAAATGTTGGACTTTAAAAAAAAAAAAAAATATATATATATATATAAATGACTTTGTTCATAATTTTGATTGCTTCTTAAAAAAGTAATTATTTTCTTAACTTTGCACTTGCGATGGCACTCTTCAAAGCCACCAGGGTTTGGAAGAGGAGGCTCAGACTCCTGGCGCTCAGGTGAAGAGCTGCCAGGCACAGAGACGGGTGAGACGGAGGGCATCGTGAATCCTGGTGGTACTGACACCAAACCTGGTCCACCTGGCCCTGGTGCAGGTGGGCTGGGTGCACTGGCAGCCAACACACTGCCCATTCTTAAACAGGACAGATGAGATTAGAGGAGGAGAACATGTTAACAGATTCTTCACTAAAATAATAGAATGTAATCATTAGTTTCGGTCTAAAGTCAGTAGTTTCCATTTGTGAACGATAAACAACATGCATGTCAAGTTTACGCAGCAAGCCGTAAAGAGTATTTGAAGGTCTTTTGCATAAAGGAATTTACTAAACAACTGGATTTGTACGATTAGGAGCTGCTGCTGTTTCGTTATCCAGATTAAAATTCAACACACGTAATTCATTGACAAATTAGCTTGACGCTAAACGCCACATGTTATTTGTTATTCTTGAGACACTACAGCTATTGGAAATATAAATGCTGTTTAGATAAAAAAAAATAGTAATATTTCTAGCAGAGGTATGCCTAAGGGGTGCTGCGGATTTATTAGAAAATAAGCTCAATAACAATGAATCAATGACAACTCACGCTGAGCTTCACAGAGGACGGTTCTCCAGGTTACAAAACCACGTGTTCTAACCATGTCTGTTTTGTGAATGATTCATTCTTTCAGAGTCGGATCTTCTCAATGAATCAGTTGAATCGCTTCACAAAACCAGTCTCATCTACTCGTTTACGAGTCGGACTGAATGGTTCATGTAATAATCGGTCCGAGCTGTTCTCACGTCAATTATATGCATACATTTTGACGTTATGTTGCATTATGGCTGCAACAAACCTAAAACTAAAACACCCTCATTTATAAAATGTAATGGAAAAAAAGTTCTGCACGGCGATGACGAAATTACGTCAAGGCCATAGACTGTGGTCAAGACGTAAAATTCCCCAGTGAGTTCATTCAGACGAGCTGTTCAAAAGAACCGATTCATGGTAACGAGTCAGACTCCACATACGACTTTCCGCTGTAAGCCCTCCTATTTTCAGCTCGACAAAGCCGAAGCTAAATGGCTATTGGCCTGTTTACCTGTCAATCACTACGTAAAAATGAAGCGGGTTTGAAAGAGCGAGCACAAAGTAAAAGGGGCATTTGCTTGAAGGTCAATGAATGGGCTTTGGAGGTCGCTTGGGTTCCCGTAACCCAGGGGTGTCAAACTCAGTTCCTGGAGGGCTGCAGCCCTGCATAGTTTAGTTCCAACCCTGCTCCAACACACATACCTTGTAGTTTTCAAATAAGCCGTAATGACTTGATTAGCTGGATCATGTGTGTTTAATTAGGGTTGCATCTAAACTGTGCAGGGCTGTGGCCCGCCAGGAACTGAGTTTGACACCCCTGCCGTAACCTGAACTGTGAGATGTATAAAGAATTATACAACCAAACAGAACTAGAGTTTAGTCATTCGATTTATGCGACGGATCCTTTAGTCTAAATGAAATCAATAAAGACAACCCCTATAAGTAAAAAAAAATATAATAAAACGGGAAAAAATGTATATATTTGGCATATAATCAATAATTATAGGGATAATGATAATAATAGTACAGGACACAATTTAATAAGGTATATGAACACATCCTTGTGACAAATTTGAACAACTCAGAAAAATAAACCTAAAAAATTACATTCACAAAAATTTATTATTTTCATTAATTATTGACAATATAAATTGTAGTACTACAGTCAATTTAATAGGAAACCAATTTACCAATTTAAATGTTAAAGAGTTGCCTCTGGAAAATTACAAAAATATACATAAGTACTTTTTCACATTCACTTAAAAAATAAAAATAAAAATGGAAACCTACTGTCAGCTCTGATGTGAATGTATTGAAGTTGGGACGGATGACACACTAATTATATTTCAAACTTTAACACATCCTATAACCTCGAGCTATTTAAATGAAATAAACAACAGAGGCAAAACATAAATCAATTGTAACACACACAATCATGAGCATTAAACTATTCTTGCATCAATTACAGAGAATCAAGCATCATATGTACATTAAACAATTGTCCCACATCTGCTCCCCACTTCCATTAACTGTGATAAACCATATAATACATACTTTTTTTTCAGAAACATCCTCACCATAAACAAAGGAAAAAATCACAGCTCATCACTGCATGACAGGATGGATGGAGAATGAAAGTTAGTCCATTAAAATAAGGTTTTGAAATATGCTAATAGTCTTACAAGGACAATAATCTTTCGAATTGCACAGCATCATCATCAGAAATTTGTAATCTGGCTCAAGGTTTCCTAATTTAACTGCACAATGCTTATTTGCATGAACTGTGCTGTTACAATAGCTAAAGAAGTATGCAAACTGAGGTTTCTACATTAAAGCTTTGAGCTACATTCCACATATCCCTGCTTAGCAAAAAAAACAAAAAAAAAACACAATAGAACATCTTTTGGAGAAAAATCACAGCTGCCCCTGAGAAGATGCTACAATTGTGCTGTACGAAAATACTCTGTCTTAATCAAAACGTCTAATAAATGCAACATGAGGTTATGAAAAGACTTTTGCAAATATCCAAAAGGGAATAAATAGGATTTTTGCCTCCTTTCTGCTAAAGAATATATATATATATATATATATTCACTACACAGAATATGGATCAAAGTAAAAAGCAAACATTTTGGCAAAAACATATATACATATCTGTAAATAACAATGTCATAAAGTTCATTAACCACTTTATACATTAATTAATATCAAAAGAAATGAAAACTGTAAAAGACGCTATCCTCGACCAACCTTCGCACCAACCTTTAAATAAATGGGAAAAAAAGGAACCAAACAGACATAGTTGTGCATATACATGCGAGGACCTGGTCATGTATAATGACTGCAGTGTGGTGAATTTTTAAATCAGCTTTCATGTAGTAGTCTGACATCTCTCACATTATGCCAGTTTTGGCATGCCTGTTTAAGTTAGGAATGTCTAATATAGTATAGTTTCAGAATTATATTAAAAAGAAAAAAAAATTGTCTTTGTTTGAAACCATAATTTACGTCTATATTTCCTTATGAATTCCAAATTTACATTTGCCTGTGACTACTAATGAAACTACAAAACGCACTACTAATGAAGAAGTTTTTTTCTCAGGCAGTTTAGTGCAATGGTTCATGTTCACACCTGAATCCTGAGCTCTGCAATATTTCCATGGATGCTGGTTTCTCTAGCTGCCTCAGAAAATGCTTCTCTCATCAATACCAATTTTTCTTTCACAGAATCCAGTATCACCAGTATGCTGCAAAATCCTGTGTTAAGTCTTTGGGAATACTTCAACATAGCAATGACATTTTAATCTAAGACAGAGATAATATATATTAAGGCACTTGGGTTAAACAGGTTTTGTTCTATGGTTTGTGTGTAAATTCTCAACTAATGATACAAGTATGCTATGCTCTATGTTAACCAATACCTTTGTTTATTGTTTTCTATCAAATAGGAACCCTTCTCTGAATGTTTAGTTTTTGTTCTTGCATGTCTCAACTGGTCATTTATAAAGAGGTATAACCCCCCTAAAAATGAACAATGAATGAAAAAAAATAAAAATAAAAAATACTGTGGAGCTGGAAAAGATGATGAAAGATATGAGCAGAGAAGTAACTGGTTTGTGCAAAAGCAGATGTTTGTGCAAAAGTCAGGTTCAGTTTCTCCAACTATCCTAGAAAGAGTAGATGGTAAAGTCAGTCCAATTTTCACTGATTCATATGGAAATATAAATAGACATTGCAATATTAGGTATTCTTAGATCAATAAACACACTTTAGGTGAATTTCCCCATTACATGACATAAGTACATAAAGTCTCCCAACTGTATGCCTTTACCTGCTCTCTAATGGTGCTTCCTAATGGGCTTCAGACCCTCCGCCAGGGTGAGATGCCTCTGCCTCACAGTCAGGGTTCACAGAGTGAAACTCTGCCACATACAGGCTCTTATCGATGCTACCGGGAATGGGCTTTATGTCTGTCATCAGCTGGTCCTCAATGGTCTTCAGGTTAAAACGATCCTCAGCCGTAATGAGATTGATTGCCAAACCCAGATGTCCAAACCTTCCTACAAATTTAACACAGGGGCCATATAATGATACATTATAAATAATATCAAAGTGTAAAGTGTGTGTAATAAAAAAAGTGTAAAGTCTAAATAATGTAATCCAAATTTAATCCTTCACATCTTTGTTGTCTGTCAACTTCACCTGAGCGTCCGATGCGATGCAGATATGTTTCTGCATTCTTGGGGAAGTCAAAGTTGATGACCACATTTACTGCCTGGATATCGATGCCTCTAGTGAATAAATCTGTATCAAGAGCATAAATTCAGTTAGAAACACCTTGACAAAACATACATTTTATTTTTTTCTAGCTGAGGTTATTATTATGCAATTACACAAAAAAAGAGTTAAGATACTATAATATACTGTATATACTATACTCACCGGTGGAAACAAGGTTCCTGCAGAGCCCATTTCTGAAGTCGTGGAAAACACGGTTTCTGTATTCCTGCCATGTGAATGAAATGAAGCACAATGTTTGCTGTCACAAATAATTGCAATACTGCAAAGTTTCAAGAATTTGACTGAAGCAAATATGAAAATCATGCTGAACAGATCTGAATTACACTGGAACTGACAACAACAAAACACATACAGTACCTGCATCATCTTAGCATGAATGTAAAAGCAGGAGCAGCCCAGCTGCGTGATCTTCTTGGCCAAAAGCTCCACTCGCTGAGTAGAGTTACAAAAGATGATGGACTGATTTATCTGCAACTATTGAGAGAAGTGCTTGGGTCATGTTAACTGTAGAAACAATGCCGTTTGTTAGAATTCACAAAAGAACAAAAAGCTAATGCATTAAAGGAATCGTTCACCCAAAAATTTAAATTTACTCTCCCTCAGTTCATCCAAGACGTAGATCATCACAGATTTAGAGAAAATGTATTTTCATCATTTGCTCACAAATGGATCCTCTGCAGTGAATGGGTGCCAATAGAATGAATGAGTCCAAACAGCTGATAAAAACATTAAAAACCCAATAATCCACAACATTACTCCAGTCCATCGATTAATGTCATGTAAAGTGAATAGCTTGTAACAAAAAAACTAAAAAATCAAGCCATGTTTAACTTCAACCATTGATTTTGGCTAAAATATCAGTCCTCTATCCATAATACTGCTTTCTCCAGTGAAAAAAACATCTTGTATGGATCAGGAGAGAAATAGGCACAGATCAAGCACCGTTTACAAGTGAAAACCATCCAACATTTCTACACAAATATGTTTCACTTGAGGAACTGCAATCATAGATTATGGACTGGTATTTTGTCCAGAAGTGACAGTTAAGTTAAAACACCTTAATAATGTTTTTTTTTGTTTTTTTTTTTGAGGGAGAGTAAATTCTCAGCAAATTTAAATTTTTGGGTGAACTTTTCCTTTAACTCATGAGACTTAATATATTTAAAGGGGCCAAAATGCAAAAATACTTTTTCAAGTTTCAGAATTCAAAATTAAGCAGCCCTTTTAGGGTCAGTTCCTCCATCAGATTAATCTCATAGGGCTTCTGCAGGTGCTTTGCCTGATGAGATACAAAAGTGTGTAAATGTAAAACCTGCAGATGTAGAAAGAGACAGATGAGCACAGTCAAAGCTTAAATGTGTTCAAAATGATGCACAGCCTTCTCTAACCATGAACTTCTGTACACTGATGGGGAATGTGGCTGAATAGAGCAGAATCTGTCTGTTCTTTGAAAGGAAACCAATGATGTCCTCAATAGTAACCACAAAGTCCTGAGAGAGCAGTTTATCAGCCTATAAGAAAACAAGCAATGAAGGTTGAACTTTGATAGTGGTGGTATTAACAACATCTAAATAACTGTGTCAAGAAGATGTTCCATTGTGACAGTGTGCAACAGGAAATAATCATTTTATTAATATTCTGATGGGCATGTACAGTAAGCATGTGCAATACTCACCTCATCCATAACCATCATCTGAACTTTATTCACTTTGGCTATGCCCTTTTTTATCAAGTCCAAGATTCTGCCAGGTGTTGCTATAACAACATGAACTGCAGAAAACAGTTTTGAACAACATGCTTTTACTGCAGAAGATGATCACACTGTAATCTCTTTATGATTAGGTGATCACTGAACATTACCCTCCTCATCCAGGCGCATGATATCATCTCGTAGGTTGGTCCCACCTGTGGTTGCCATGACCTTGACACCACCCAGGTGCTTGCTGATCTGAATACTGATCTGACTGACCTGCAGAGCCAGTTCACGAGTGGGAACTATCACAATGGCTGCAGGTAAACACAGAAAGATAGTACAGTAAAAAAAAAAAAGGGGGTGGGGAATAAAAGGTACATCTTGTGTAAAATGTTTTGGAGAGAGATACCCTGGATATGATCCTTTTTTATGTCAATTCTCTCCAGAAGGGGGATAAGGTATGCACCACTCTTTCCGGTCCCGTTTTTGGCACGAGCCAGTATATCGCGGCCAGAAAGGGCAATAGGAATACTCTCCTCCTAAAATAAAAATTAAAAAACAATCGAAGGAACAGTTCACCCAAAAATGAAAATTTGCTGAAAATGTACTCATCCTCAGGCCATCCAAGATAAAGATGAATTTGTTTACTTAATCAGAACAGATTTGGACAAATTTAGCATTACATCACTTTACAGAGGATCCACTCTGCAGCGAATGGGTGCCGTCAGAAACAGAGTCCAAACAGCTGATTAAAACATCACAACAATTCACAAGTAATCCACACGAGTCCAGTTCATCAATTAAAACTTTGTGAGGAGAAAAGCTGCTCACAATTCCATCATTAAGGCATTTTAACTTTAAATTGTCGCTTCTGGCCATAATCCATAACAACACTTCCTGAAAAAGTTCATCCCGTTGTCCTCTCACATCAAAATTAGGGATGTAACGATTCACTCAACTCACAATTTTGATTTCACGATTCACTCAACTCACAATTTTGATTTCACGATTCGATTCGATTCACAATTTTATTTCACGATTCACTCAACTCACAATTTTGATTTCACGATTCACTCAACTCACAATTTTGATTTCACGATTCACTCAACTCACAATTTTGATTTCACGATTCACTCAACTCACAATTTTGATTTCACGATTCGATTCGATTCACAATTTTATTTTATTTTTTTAAACAAAATGAGGTTTAAGACAAATTATAAATAAATGTGTCCTTTTATTATTGCTTGGACAAAATGAAATCTCTTCATATAAACAAACTAAGGCTTTGTCTGTGCTCTTTCCATTTAAAATTAGAGGCAACCACTGCATTTTAATCATGATCCAAACAAAGATGCTGCATACATGCAACATGAGCAGTTTTTAATCTAAATTAAACTGTATCATGTCGAAATTAGAAACAAAAACAGAATGGTTTGACTTCAGTTTTGTGAAACTATACATAAAAATATCTGCATGAAACAGCAGAGCTGAATGAGACGCAGATTCACTCTCTGCCAGCAGGTGGCGCTTAAACCGTTTCATTGGTTTCCGCTGTAAACAAAGCAGCGCTGCACATATGAACTTCAATATGCATTATACAGAGGCAAGATGAAAAAATACCATCTAAACTTTTCTAAAGACAGTAAGTTCCCCTCAGACATGGATTCATATAAACTCCTACACCTACATGAATCGCGATTTGTTTAGCATCTCAACCAGTTTGAATCGTCACATATTTGAATCGATTTTCAACCGGCTCGCGGTTAATCGTTACATCCCTAATCAAAATCCACCGATATATTTGTTTAAAACTGTTTTGGACTGTTTGCACTTGTAACAGGTGCTTGATTTGTGCATATTTCTCTTCTGATTCAGACAAGATGACTTTTTCACCACTGGAGAAAACAATATTATGGCTTTATTACTGTTTTGTAGCTATTATGCCAATATAGGAAGCAACAGTTTGAAGTTAAAAACGTCTTGATGGAATGGTTTGTTACAAACATGCAGCTTTTCACTTCACATGACATTAATTGATGGACTGGAGTTGTGTGGATTATTTGTGGATTACTGTGTTGTTTTTATCAGCTGTTTGAACTCTAATTCTAACGGCACTCACTCACGGCAGAGAATCCAATGGTGAGCAAGTGATGTAATGCTACATTTCACCAAATCTGTTCTTATGAAGAAACAAACTCATCTATATCTTGGATGGCCTGAGGATGAGTACATTTTCTTCAAATTTTCATTTTTGGGTGAACTATTCCTTTAAGCATAAACACTGAGGATACCCATGTTGTTCAGAAAGACTGGTAACTTGTCTATGTTTTGAAGTTCTTGCATCTATTACCTGAATGGGGGAGGGCTTTTCCCAGCCCATCTCAAAAATGCCCATCAGCAGCTCTCTCTTTAGACAGTAGTCCTCAAACTCATTCCCTTTGGTTGCAGTCACATCCTTGAGAGAAAGAAATAGCATTAAATAGACAGATCATAAGGAGATCGGTACTTGTACTTAACAAAATGAAAAACAATCACTATTCATCAAATGCATGTTGCATGTTTATATAAGAATTCTACATTGTGTGTTTTGGTGAAAAACAATACGTCCTTATAATGACATTACATTAATTTTTAAAAAGGAAAAAAAGTTTAAAACATTTCACTGAAAGACTTACAGAAGTTTTGACTCTATTGTCCTTAGCCGGGAGCAGTAGGCTTTTTTTCCAGTCATCACCAAACCTGTGTGTCAGTAAATTAATATCTATACTTCTGTACAAACGTTTGGGGTCAGTAATACATATGTATATATTTGTAAAGAAAGAAATTAAAACTTTTATTCAGCAAGAACCTATTAAATTGACCAAAAGTGACAGTAAAGACATTATGTTACAAAAGATTTCTATTTCAAAAGATGTCTATTCATCAAAGAATCCTGTAAAAAATGTATCACGATTTACAAAAACTTGATAATAATACAAAATGTTTCTTGAGCAACAAATCAGTATATTAGAATGATTTCTAAAGGATCATGAGACTCTGAAGACTGGGGTAATGATGCTGAAAATTCAGCTTTGTCATTGCAGGAATAAATTACATTTTAAAATATATTAAAACCGAAAACAGTTATTAGAAATTGTAATAATATTTCACAATATTACTGTTTTTACTGTATTTTTGATCAAATAAATGCAACCTTGGTGAACATAAGAGACTTAACAGACCCCAAACTTTTAAACAAAAGTGTACACAGACATGTCATATATAACACACATACATTCTAACTAAACAAACAAGTGTTCATTATGACAGTATAACAACCTTACCTGATTCCAGGTCCTTCCTGAGATGCATTGGCTGGTTTCTGGGTCCCCATGGGTTCCTTTCCAGGCTGGGAACTCACAGATTGGGGTCCTAACTGAGAGGGGCCTTTAGGCTGTCCTATAAGATGCCTATTGTGTGTGTTTAACCCTATGACAGCAGGCCCAATGTTCTCCATCTTTGTTGCCATCTTTTTAAGTTTCTAAAGCTTTTCCATGTCTTTTTCACTTTTCTAATGCCTTACTAAGGTCTAATAAGACCTAGTGAACCATTCACAGTGTCCACAAGGCCTCAATAAAAAGTGTCACTAAAGAATCTTATCAGATATTTATAAATTCTACATACAGCTTAGGCTCAATAATTCAGAGCAATGCTGCTTTATTACAAGGGCTCTTCTAAAAGAAGATAAATAAATATTTATGTGAATAAATATTGCACACTGTATAGAAAATTATACCTGGACAGGTGTAATAAAGAACTCGTCTGCTAAGGCAATCTGAGCTACAGAAAGACCTAGACCAGAACTTTCTTTTCGTGTCTACACTTCTGCAATATTTACAGTATGCAAACAGCGCGTTGTGGTCTTCTGGCTGCCGATTCGCACTTTTACTTCTTCAGATGCAGATTAACTCTCAAATGTCCTTTCCTCTGTGTTGACATCCAGTTGTGCCCACACCTGTGCCACCTGCAGAGAAACAATGTGGAAATCAAAGACAAGTCACTATACAAACTGAAATGACATGAAATATTCTGAAAGATGTTAATGGAATTACCATTTTACAGTAGTAACTATATCAATGTTATATTGGTAAACCTTTGGTTATCATCATTTATTGTAAACAGAAAGTTTTTTTAAAACTGACTAATGCAATGTGATAATGGGTCATAATCATCCCGACAGAAAAAGTATTGTGGTGTAAAATGTAGTATAAGTATAGTATATTCCATAGTATAAAATGGAAATACTATATAAAAGTACCTTGTCACATGTCATGATACTGAATTATTCCCATATTGGAAAACCATTGTATTTATGTTGCACTTTACAGTACTTAAAGTAATAACACTGAATTACCATGGCACTTTTACTAAAGTCAAAATTGACACATTATATAACATTATTATAACTTTAATCTCGTAAATGCTACGACTTAATTCTAGTAATTTAGACTTTATTCTCAAAATATTTTCACTTTATTCTCGTAGTATTTACTTTTTCCTCAAAACATTACTTTAATCTCGTAATCTTAGGTTTGTTTTTTTTAACGTGGCATTAAAACGCCGCCGTAAATTACTTCAGATAATAATCCCAAACTGACCGACATTAAATAGTTTAGTTAGAAGGTGAATTGTGCTAAGCTAGGCTAAACTTACAACATTACTCTAAAATACGACAGTTAAAACCAAATATTTACCTTTACTTATGTCAGTTTCCTATGTTGCCATATATGTGAGGTAAATTACTTGGTAATTAACGTGGTATTTATCATGTCGCTACAAGCAGCTCGTCTCTTTGTTGTATTTCTGTCACCACGGTCGAGCGACATGAACGTCAGTGGGCTTCGTTTTGAGGCTGCACATCTGAGGTGCTGCCATCAACGGTACGGAGGCTCTTATGACCCTAAACATGCATTTATTTACTGCATTTCTTTCTTTAAATGTATGCCTTTATTCCCTTAAAATTACTGTGGTATCCATAGTGTATTTTAGGCATTCTTAGTCATAAAAAATAATAATACAAGAAAAAACGTAAAAAAATATTAATTATATTGATATAATACAATAAAATATTAATAAATTAATACTTAATGATTTCAGACTTGAAATTCTTCTTATTATTATTATTAGTAGTATTATAAAGTAGTGACTAAAACTTATCAAATTACCATAGTTTTCTTGTAGTAACAATAACTGCAAAATATAGACCAAAACATAAAACAGCACTGGAAACAAAGGGTGCTTTAAAAATAGTGGATTATTAATTTATTGCATTTGACATTCAGTTCATCAAAATCCTCTCAGTACAGTATAGAACAAACATCTTTGGTGTTATAAGAAAAAAGTACAGGTCATCATGTGCTGAATCTAATTTGGTTATGGTTATGAACACCTTTTAGCCATTTAGTTTACTGCATCATAACGTGAACTGGTAGCAAGTCAACAGTGAAAGATTCTTGTGCATCTGGCCAGTTGTTTTTCAAGAAATTATGAGGTAACCGGTTAATATGAAGGTTCAAGTGTAGACAACAGTACTACGAAAAGACACAATGCTGTAAAGCTTAAAACCGCATCCTCAAAGTTTGGTCAGATATATAATCATATCACACACAAATATCCTTGTAAAATTAATTAAACATTTTAAAATAATGATATAGCTTACATTGTAATGTAATATCATAGCAGGGGTGTCAAAGTAATTTCAGGCCATGAGACACACTGGACTAAACACAACTTTGTGTGGGACAATTGAAGTTTTTTTTTAATTTTTAATTTTTATATCATAGAGAGTGCTGTGTGTTTGACACCCCTACGTTTAAACATTCAAACCATTTTCATTTCCGATAAAAATAAGAGGTTAGACATGGTGATTTTAATAGAATCCACAGTGCAGTTGCTTTAAATATTAGTTTGCAGTGCAGAAGTAGCTAGGATTGATCTTATTGCATCACTACAGGCACAATGGTGAAATTTTGGTGGATGCTTAGACATTCAGTTTGTTCAGAACACAACAGTGAATAGTTAATGTGAATACTTAAAAATGAGTCATTCTGATGCAAAACTGCACATTAAGCCTATGACTTTGGTATTGCAAGCTGGATCTACAATTGCTTCCAGGAGTTCAGCTGGTGGATAGACTTATCTTTTTATAAATAAATTTCTGGTTTCAAACCAGTCAAAACTAGTTTCACTTTATTATTATTTAGATCCCTGGAACTTCTTGGACATTGGTGGTCCATCATGACTTTCCCAAGCCTAAACTGTCTAATTGAGCCCCGGCTGCCTCTGATCAGCAGGTAGTTCCTCTTGCTGGAAGACTTCTCTGATTCGTTTCACACATATATCAGATGCTTCCTGGGTTTCTTTGGAAAGTTGAAATAGGCTCAGGAAGCCATGGGGAAGGTCTTCAACCACAGTGAGCGTCACAGGCTGGTTCATATTCCTAAGCTTTTTGGCAAGCATCACTGAATCATCTAACAGGGCATCCAAAGCTGAGGCCTGAAAAGAACAATCAAAGCATTAAAATAATATTTTCAACATTGTTCTTGGAAATGCATTTTCATCATGTCTTACCACTATATGCACAGGTGGAAGCCCCTTGAGAAGACTGTCCGGAGCAAGTAGAGGAGAAACAAATGGGTTCTTCATTATTGGTGTGCAAGGTGTCCGTATATCCACCAGACACCTAGACCGGAGTGGCTCAAAGTTGTCTGGGTATTCTTTGACTTCCTGTGGTTTCTCTACAGAATGTGACTTGGAAGGTGAAGGACCGTTTGATGATGTGGTTGAAGAGGATGACGATGCTGCTTTTGGATCTAATAAAGTCTGAAACCAATTTGTTGCTCCTTGGGCGAAGTTAGTCAGCAACTTTACTGTGTCCTGTCCCAAAGCAGCCAAGGTGTCTAACTGCTGAGCTGGCTGTACTGACTGACAACTCGTACCTGAGATAGAGACAGTGACCAAGAGACAGTACAATCATGAAAGTGCGGTAGATAAAGCTGCTTTGAAATAATCTGTACTGCATAAAACTCTTGTCTGTAACATGACTTGACTCAAAAGCTCACCAGCATAGGCATCAATACACTTGTAGAGCACACTCAAAGGCAGCAGAGGGTCGATTAAAGTGAGTAGTCTGGATGGTGAGGCGTCTGTTGTTAGCAGAGTTGCTGGGTACGCTGCCACAATCCCATCAGGAACACGTACACCGTGAGACATTGCCCTCATAGAGACTGTTATACACAGGTTACCGCCTGCACTGTCTCCCACCAAACAAACACGCTCTGCAGTCGAGCCTGTGCAGCAAGATCAACATTTAGAGAGTCCGGAGGCATGGCTGACATGGATTGCTTGTCATGTTCACACCTGTTATTATGCTCACACACCTAAAGGTAAAAATAAAGTTCATATGGTTCTTTGCAGAAGTTCAACCCTCTTTTTATAGGAATTGTGACTGGCTATATGGTTTTATGGAGGGTAAATAAAAAGTTATTGTTCTTCGCATCAACATCTTGAATGTCATAAAATGGAAAAATTAAACTGATTTAACCATCAAATTATGGGCATTTGACCAAATACTTTTGGGAAGTTTTGTAGTGTGATGTACTTCACCTAAAATTATTTAAAAAGCAAAGCATTTTGCTAATTATTTTATAATTATTATACACTACCGTTCAAAAGTTGCGGTCAGATTTTTTAATGTTTTTAAAATAAGTCTCACCAAGGCTGCATTTTATTGATATTGTACAGTATTTTACTGTACAGTAATACTGCATAATATAATTACAATTTCAAATAACCGTTTTCTATTTTAATACACTTTTAAAATGTATTTTCTTCCCCTATCTGCAGTCATTACTCCAGTCTTCAGTGTCACATGATCCTTCAGAAATCATTCTAATATACGGATTTAACTCTCAAGAAACTTATTATCTTATTATCAATGTTGAAATTGGTTGTGCTGCTTAATATGTTTGTGGAAACCATGATTTTTCAAGATTCTTTGAGTAGAACATTTATAAAACAGCATTTATTTGAAATAAATATATTTTGTAGTATTATAAGTGTCTTTGCATCCTTGCAAACATTTGAATGGTAGTCCACATTAAGTTTTTTAAAAATTCTTTAATAATAATAATATATTTTTTTTACTATTAACAACATTATTAACATTATCTCATGTTAATTGAGAAACTGTGATAGAATAATTGTATTTACTATTTCATTTGTTGCAGCGTATTACATTTCCTATTTAGACGGCAATAATCATTGGCTAGCACATGTAATTACTGAAATTACATCATATCTCCATAAAACAATTACTGTCTGCATATTAGTTTAGTTATTAGTCCATTTGGAGAGGAGTGTGCTTTACAAACCCAGCAAGTGGCAATTCTTTAAGGCCCAACAGTAGGCATAGAAACACTCCTCTAGAGCCCGGGGGAACGGGGCCTCTGGAGCCAATGAGTAATCCACAGAGAGAATAGGCACATTCAGATCCTTTGACCAGCTCTTCAAGTAATTCTACAATAGAGAGAAAACAAGACAGAGGGCCTCAGAAAAAAAACACAACATCCTAACAAAGAAATCATTTAGGTGAGAAACCGTATATAGGGAGGTAAAATTGCCACAGCCACACCTCATGTGATTTTGAAGTTTGTGCAACAAAGCCTCCTCCGTGGAAGTGTACGAGCAGGCACGGAGAAAGAGGAGCTGTCTGACGACTGAAACCCCCTGGCTGAGAGTGCTGAGGCCCCTCGGGACGAGAAAGGGCCAACAGTTCTGCACTGTCCTGAGGGAAGAGTTTGAATATGGAGGACATTTGGCAGAATTAATTGTTTGAAAGAAAAGCAGCATTTAATTACAAGAATGTTGAAAACATTTCATCATACTCATGCTGGAAACATCATTCAGAGCCTTAGGATACCTGTTTGTCTTAAAAATATGTAATGAATTATTTCTTTTTCATAAAACACACAAACCTGTCCTTGTCGGAGTGTGTGAGAGATCAAGCGCACTTTGATTGGCCCAGGGCCCCAGTGTGCAACTGGAGGATTCATAGAGACTGAGAAACTGGGGTCAGAGGCCAGTGGCAAACTCAGACTTACAGCTGGTATGGTTAATATTACATTCACTTGCACCACAGTGGAAGCAATCCTTGTCAAACTCTTTGGAAAAATACAGAAAAGAAAAAAGATAGAAAAAGGATAATTGAAACTCTTCTGTCTTATTTAAACTTAGCATTCAAAAGTTTGGTGTCAGTCAGAGTTTTTAAAAGAAATTAATATATTTATTCAGAAAGGATGCAATTAATTGATCAAAATGACAGTAAAACATTTATAATGTTACAAAAAAATTATATTTAAGTTCTTTTGAACTTTCCATTTATCAAAGAATCCTGAAAATGTATCAAAGTTTCCACAAACGTATTAAGCTGCAAAACTGTTTTCAACATTGATAATAATAAGATATGTTTCTTGAGCAGCAAATCAATATAATAGAATGATTTATGAAGGATCATGTAACACTGAATACTGGAATAATGATGCTGAAAATTCAGCTTTGCATAACAGGAATAAATGACATTTTTAAATTATTCAAACAAAAAACAGTTATTTACAAATTATAAAATTATGTAACAATAAATTTGACTGTATTTTTGTTCAAATAAATGCAGCCTCGGTCAGCATTTTTAAAAATCTTACTGACCCCAAACTTTTGAACGGTACTGTAAATATTGTAAACCTACAGTTTAACAACAAGAACAATATAACAAGGCATTGATATTGTTTTATCTGTTCTCATAGAAGCGCACATAAACCTACTTGTACTTACTGATAATAGCTCAGTCTCTGTAAGGTTCCAAAAGGTTTT